CCGGGACCCCGGAAGGCCGCCGCCGCCTTAACCCGCAGTGCGCTCACCGTGCCGTTCCGGTGCCCCCTGGAGGCCGACATGGCCCGCCGGTCCTTGGCGCCCGGCGCCCCGCGCTACCTCGGGGTGGTGCACAAGCAGCTGGCCGTGAAGGGCAGTAGCCTGATGGTGTGAGTCCCGCCGCGGGCGGCGCGGGCGGCCGGGGCGCGGGCTGGACAGGCTCGTGGGCCGCGCCTGCTTGGCCTGAAGGGCCTCCCGCCTCGCTTTCAGGCACTGGGCCGCCGAGGACCCCGTTCTCTTCCGAATTTCCATCAACGCCTTCCTGGACCAGCTCGCCCTGGTGATACGGAACATCCGCCGCATGGGCGCCGCCGCCTACACCCAGCCCGGGCCCAGAAAAGGGACCTAGGCGCGGCCCGGTCCCGCCTTGGCCAGGCACGGGAGTCCGACCCGGTGGAGGATACCGCCCTGTCCGGGGTGGCCCTGCCCGGTGCCCCGGCACCCCTGCTGGGGGGGGCGAGGGCCTGGCCCTGTTCCTGCGGAAAATAAAGCCCAACTCCTGCTCTGAGCCTGCCCTTGTCTTGCGCAAGCCCCTTTGGGGTGGCCTGGCCTGTGCGGGGATGGGCAGGGGGAGGGGTCTGCGGCAGAGGCCCTGGGAGGGGCTCCGGGAATGGGTGCTGGCACCCACCCCGGGCATGGGCGGCCACCGGCTCCGGCTCCTGGGTTCAGACGCCGACAGCTCAGCCTGGGCCGGTGTGCACAGCCCCTCTGGAGCGTCTCGGCTCTGCGCCTGGGGTCCCGGACATCCCCGGAGACCGGTTCATAAACCTCCCACCCTGTGGAGCGTGGCTTTGGGGAGCACTCGGGCGAAAGCACCTTGGGGTCCAGGGTGAGAGCCAGGTCCACGAAAGCCAGTCCCAGGGTCCAGGCAGTGAGGCCCTCAGAGCGGCCCTGCCACCGCCACTGGCTTCTCCACGGCAGTCGGGAGCCTCCGCATTCGGAGTGGGAGGGAGCTCCCACCGCTGCAAGACGCATGTGCCCCGGCCCTGCCACGCCACACCCAGCACCCCCAGGGCCCCACCACGCCACGGTACCGCTACCGTACCGGCAGCCGCAGAGTGCAGCAG